TTCCTGGTGGCCAGGTGAGAGATGGGGGGACAGATAGATGGAGGGAGGGAGGGGTTGCTTTCTCCCAGGATGGGCTCCAAGGCAACTGACTAAAGTTAAAATGAAATCAGTAACATTATTTTTAAAGAAAACATGGTTAAAAAGAGTTAACACTGACTTTTAACACTTGAGGCATTAGGAGAGGCAGGTAACAAATAACATTTATTGTTATTACACTGCGTAATTTTTGTTTCTGGGTTATAAATGTCATTTCCTAATTGGTTCTATCATAAAAACGCGTTAAAAAGTTTATTAAACTGCAGAAACTTTGCTTTTGCGGAAGGGACATCCTGCAGCACATTTTGCTATAGTTTTTTAATGAATAACTCATAGAGTCTCAATTCAGCATAGTTTGTGGCAGCCACAAAATGTACAGTCAATTCGCTCCTGACATGAAAAAACAAAAAAAGCCACAAAAACAAAGTTTCTGGAGGATAACAATTATTACCAAAGTAAATACCGGACAATTAACCAGGAAATGACACTTTAAAACTAGGAACAGTTTTTTCAAATTTTGTTACATAGTGTTATTGTTGTTGTTGTTGTTGTTAATAATAATAATAATAATAATAACAGGTAGGACTTTGAGATATAAATAATGTGTAGCAGTGTGCTGTGTTTGTTATCTATTGTTGTTAATAATATTAATAATCATCATCATCATATAGGCTTTTAAGATTTAAACTATGTAAGTAGTGTGCTATTTTTGTTATTTATTGTTGTCAATCATAATAACGATGATGTTGATGAAGAAGTGGGCCTTTGAGATTTAAATTACGTACTGTAGTGTGCTGTGTTTGTTGGCTATTGCTGTTGATGATGGTGGTGATGATGATAATGATGGTGGTGGTGATAATAATATACACATGAATTCAATCTCAGAGGCCTGCCTGGATAAAAAGGAGTTTTCTCCTGCTGATAAAGAGAGCAGAGAATATATTCAGTGTAATTGCTGAATCTTTGCAGGGAAATTTCTAGACTCTCTGGTGATATTTTGTATCCAAAGGGAGCCCTTCTCCTCAATTAGATTGCAAGAGGCAGGAAGTGCCCTTTTGAGAAACCAACTCAACAGGGAGCCAAAGAGACTTAGGCTTTGAGAGAAGTGAGGAAGGAGGGGTTGCCTTTTTTTTTTGTAAACATTGGATTCCCAGAAATTGCTGCTATTTTTCCTTGAGGAGCTTTGTTCCTTTTTGTACAAAGAACAGGTTGCTTTGTGGTTGGGACACAGGAAAAGGGCTGTCCTCTGCTCTTCCCTGGTGGCTTTTGTGTCCATCTCTATTTCCTGATATCAGAGATAGGGCCCCTGGCATGAACCGCTGAGTGCTGTCCCTTCTTTAAACATGGCTGCCCTTGTGCTTTGTTTCGCTCTCTTACACAGGGTTGACGTTTCCCGCAATGACTTGCCCTGGGAGTTCATGACTGACCACCTTCCCAATGTCTTGTTTTTCCCTCAAGGCAGGTAAGGTTTGCAGAGCAGAGGGTTCTGGGGGGCTCCTTGTTCCAATGAAGGTCCAATGGGCAGCCCCACAAGTGCTGCCAGAGTCCAGGTCCCATCAGCCATCACTAGCAGGAAGGATCGCTAGGAGTCAAACAACATGTGTCCACATTAATGGGAGGGACAACAGTCCCCCATCCTATTCCTGGTTGGAGGGCCCTTCTAAGAACTGTGAAAGGGCTGGGACCTAGTCCCTCATCGCTTCGCAGCGAATTCCCACAGCTGTGTTCTTCTCAAAATGGCCGTCTATCGCCATTTTTGAGAAGCACTTCAATAAAAACAAATGCTCAGAGTTGGAAGGGGGAGACTTGCGAGTGTTTTCAACCTTTTGGGGTGGGGGAGGGGGAGTCTGTGTCTCACATCTCAAAAATCACAGCAATTTCTAGCTATGATGAAATGGGGGGACTGGCAGCGGACTTCAAGGGCCACAAACGCTGCATGAAGGCCACACTTCCTTATGGAGGCAGCTTTCAACAGCAAAATGCCACAACTCTGCCGAAAAACAATTATTTCCCAACACATACCTTATTTATTCAAATGTAATGCTCCCCTTTTTGGGCTCTCCAGAATTAGGCTGCACACTAGATTCACATCACACTGTCCTCTTAGCACTGAGCCAAAGCCAAAAGGAAGCTAAAATGGAATCTGCTTTAGGATCTCCAGCTGGAGCTCCTCTTTGAGGGTCATCATCTCTCATGAAATTGCATTGACTCAATGCTATGCCATCCTGGGATTTGTAGTTTGGTGAGGCATCAGCATCCTTTGGTAGAGAAGGCTCAAGATGTTGCTAATAGCCCTCATGACGCCATATCATTGAACCAAGGCAATGAAAGTGGGTTCGTTCTACAACATATATGCACCCCAAGGTTTTCTTTTCTGTTGCTGAAAGCTTTGGTGTCCTAACACTTTTGTTTTTTAAAAAAGGATTCTAAGCAGGCAGCAACTGCAATGCACAAATTACACAGAGTTCCCTTTTTGTGGCAGCAAATACTTGTTTTGGGTTTCAAGGGATTTGAAAACTGAGGCATGCCTTAGATTTGATGACGCATGAGACTCAAGTCAGTTCAGTAGTATCTCAGGTGAGAGTTTGGAGGGTGTTCTCCCAGAAGGGGTTGGGGTCTACTTTGTAGTTTGGCACCACTGTAACTGCCATGGCTCAATGTCATGGGGTTTTGGGAGGTGTGGTTTGATGTCTTTGGCCTTCTCTGCCCAAAAGGGCTGGTGCCTCACCAAATTACAACCCTCAGGATCCCACAGCACTGAGCCATTGGCGGATCAAGGAGTGGCAAGCTGCATAAAATGTTAATGGACAACTGTGGGCCTACCTTTCAGGGGCGGTTTGAGCTGTAGCTGTCTCCACCCAAAAGCTCTGGTCGAGATGATTCTTGGGGTCCCCTCTGTGATAGGAAGCACTCCTGGGGCATTACGCCGAATGCAAGCAGAGGCAAGCGGGCCCGGCGCTCCCTGCATTCCTGCCTTCAAATGCAAGCCAAAATCACGTGTAATTTACTTCTGGTTGAATCCTAGCCAGCATTTTAGCCTAAGGACTTCAAATCCCAGGGTCAGGAAGGGAATGGCATGAATCCATATGGATATGTTTATGTCTTTACCATGGCAAGATGCCCTCAGGTGAGCCTCACTTGCGACGTAGAGAGGATAGCCCTGGCCTCCTTTCCGCAGGGACAACAAAACTTGTGTAATGTGATTTGGAAGAGGTGAGAGGTAGAGCTGCTTCCTGTTTTGTGTCTCCAGCTCTGCTGAAAGCCAAGCTATACCTGCAGCTTATGATTTATGGTGGAAGTAATTACTGTATTGTCTTGAGTCTCATGTGCCATCAAATCTAATAATGCATGTCAGTTTTCAAAACCTAGTATTTGTGGCCAAATGTAATGTGCAGCAGCAAAAAGTGCCCTCTTTGTCATTTGACAATTACAGTTGTTGCTTGCTTAGAATTCCTTCCTTAATAACGAAAGAGTTAGGGCACCAAAGCTTCCAGAAATGGAAAAGAAAACCTTGGGATGCATTGATGCTGTAGAATGAGTCTACTTTCATTGCCTTGGTTCAATGCTATGGAGTCATGGGGGCCGTAGTTTGACTAGGTCTTGGGCCTTCTCTGCCAAAGGACACAGATGCCTCACCAAATTACAAATCCCAGCATTGCATATCACTGTATCATGGCCATTACGTGAAAGATGATTTTATTTATCGTGTCAGGAGCAACCAGACATTTCTATTACATTTTTAACAAAACAAACAGACAGACAAAAGACAATGTTTGAAAGCTTGGTAGTTGATTAAATGTCCTTTGACCAGAAGCAACCAGAAGTGAAAGATGATGTCCCTCAAAGAGAAGTTCCAGGTGCAGATCCTAAAGCAGCTTCCCCTTTGGCTTTGGTTCAGCACTATGATGCAAAATAAATGCGCAGCCTCATTTTGGCGAGGTCATTTAGCTCCAAGAGATGAGCATTAAAGTGAATATATTCACTTTAATGCTCATCTCTTGGAGCTAAATGAACGGCCTCCTCCTGCTTTTCTTCCCGATCCAGGTTTTGCCTGCTGTTTCTGCCCCACGGAGCAGGTCTTTCTGGCCCTTCTCCTCCCAGGAGGCGAAACTTCCTAGCACATTCCTTCCTCCCAAAGTCTGCAGGGAACCAGTTTCAGGTGATATTTATAGAACTGGGTTTGTCACATGCTGCTGTTTCCTGGCTGAGCAGGGAGGCTGTCTTCATCCCTCTCAGTCTTAGGATTTATATCCTACTTTCCTCAATTCAATGAGCAGCTGACAACATTAAAAACAGTGCAGCACCGCTCTGAACGGGGATCTCTTGCGGGCATTTAGATAGACTCCTTGGCAGTGACTTTGACATCCCATAAAACCCTTTTTCAAAACTCTCAAAACTGCCTCAGTGCTTTATCCATCTCTCTGCAGAAAGCTCCACTGAAACTAAACATGTCGCCCCCATTGAGTTGTAGCTTTTGGGTTTTTCTGCCCAGAAAGGCAGGTGAGAGATGGTTGCTGCAGGAAAAAGACAGGATATACATTGGCATTCAATCCACTCATCACAAAAGGACTTCCGTGGCCGGCCGGCTGCCTTTGTGAACCTCTTTCCTGTTTTTTCCTTTGCTCTTCTAGGAAGGACCAGAGCGTGCGCTTCCCCTCCTGGCGCTTCCAACTGACCCTTCCCAACCTGCTCCGCTTCCTCCTGGCCCACTCTGGCCGGCCTTCCCCCTCCCCCTCCCCGTCTTCCTCAGGCCTGGAGCCCTGCCTCAAGGACTGCCTTTGGGGGGGACTCCTGGCCGAAAACGCCTTCCTCAAGGCCCTGCTGACCACCAAGCGGAGGCCCGAAGATGAGGGCCCCATTCCGGCCACTGACCTTTTCCCCAAATCCGAAGAGGACAGCCAGGCCCAGCCGGGCCTCTGCAGCAGAGAGACCGAAGGGGAATGAAGACCCCGACACGAATCACGTTCAGGGTTTTATGCAAACTTTATTGACATTTCCTCGGAAATTCTCCCCCTTCCCCCAAACTTCTTGTGTCATTTCCTCGGACTAGAAATCAAAGAGTATTTTTTATAATGAGCCATGAAAACCGGACAGAAGCACAGGCCCAGTAGCCTGCCGCTTAAAAGGACGGGGTTCCGGGGGGTCTTTGCACTTTACGGTTGCACTAATTTGATAGCTTTTGTATTGATTTCAGCCTAAATTAAAACAAAGGGGGAGGGAGGGCAGCACAAAGCTCCCTTTCTCCCCCATGAATCTCCAGACAGCAGCTTTTCTCCTTTCTTCCAATGTGGTATTTTGTTTATTTGAACTTTATCATGGAAGCTGTCTGATTCAGTCGCCTTGAGGCCATTTGAAAAGAGGCAAAGTGCAGGTCATGGGGCCAAATTGAAAAGGGGGTAAGATTGCAATCCCTTCCCTTTCCATCCACATAAAGTGGAAGAATATCCTCTGGGCAGGATTCTGAGCCAGAAGCAGTTAAGGATCCCCAAAGATGATTTATTATTATTATTATTATTATTATTATTATTATTATTATTATTGGGTTGCGGCAAGTTTTCCAGGCTGTCTGGCTGTGTTCCAGAAGCATTCTCTCCTGACGTTTCACCCATATCTATGGCAGGCATCCTTAGAGGTTGTGAGGTCTGTTGGGAAGTAGGAAAGTGGAGTTTATATATCTGTGAAATAATGTCCAGAGTGGGAGAAAGAACTCTTGTTTACTTGAGACAAGTGTGAATGTTGCAATTGGCCACCTTGATTTGCATTTAAAGGCCTTGCAGCTGCAAAGCCTGTCTGGTTGCAGCCTGGGAGAATCTTTTGTTGGGAGGTGTTAGCTGGCCCTGATTGTTTCCTGTCATAATAATAATAATAATAATAATAATAATAATAATATCCTCAACCTCTGAAGATGCCTGCCATACATGTGGGCAAAACGCCAGGAGAGAATGCTTCTGAAACATGGCTGTACAGCCCTGAAAACTCACAGCAACCCAGTTATTTCGACCATGAAAGCCTTCAAGAACAACATATTATTATTCGTTTAATATCTGATTTTTATCTCTTCATTAAGATTTCATTTATCTCACTGCATTTCTTGCTTTTTTGCTGGACCTTGGCTAGTCCAACTCTTTGTTATTGGCCCCTAGACCAAGTAAACCAGGATCTGGCCAGCAAGAAGAGCATTGCTTCCCTTTTCTTTGGGCTTCAGTTCCCAGAAATCCTAGCTCTTGGGCAAAAAGGTAGCTTCTGGGAGCTGAAGTCCAAAGAATGTTCCATATGTTAGCATCTGGCCTGGATATACATACACCTGGATGGAAGAATGATGGGGAATGCAGTGCAGCAGCCCAATCTGGAAGATAAAATAAATAATAATAATAATAATAATAATAATAATAATAATTTGACACAATACAAGGATTTAAAGATCGAACTGCAAAGACTCTGGCACAAGCCAGCCAAGGTGGTCTCAGTGGTGATCGGCATCCTGGGTGCAGTGCCTAAAGACCTTGGCCTGCACTTAAACACAATCAGTGCTGACAAAATTACCATCTGTCGGCTACAAAAGGCCATCCTGGGATCTGCATGCATTATTGGCCGATACATCACACAGTCCTAGACACTTGGGAAGTGTCCGACGTGTGATCCAATACAACAACCAGCATAGTGATCTTGTTTGCTGTGGACTCAACTTGCTGTATTTCAAATAATAATAATAATAATAAGAAGTAGCAGCAGTAGTAGTGGTGATCGGCACACTGGGTGCAGTGCCTAAAGACCTTGGCCTGCACTTAAACACAATCGGCGCTGACAAAATTACCATCAGCCAGCTGCATAAGGTCACCTTACTGGGATCTGCACGCATTATTCACCAATACATCACACAGACTTAGACATTTGGGAAGTGTCCGAAGTGTGATCCAGTACAACAGCCAGCAGAGTGATCTTGTCTGCTGTGGACTCATCTTGTGTTTCAAATAATAATAATAATAATAATAATAAATCATCCCACTTTGACTGAGTTGGAAAGGATCAGGAAAGCAGTAGCTATATTTAAGGAGAACTTTTGGAAGGCTAACAGCACCAGCACCATCCATCTAATTCATCCTCCAAATGTAGCTGGACTTCCAACTTTTGGCAACGAAAAGTGACCCACTTTTGAGAGAAGGCCGATATCAAATATTCATAGACATTAAAGGACAAAGGCTCCTCTTTCGCTACAAAAGATTTGGTGGCATCGATACAGGAAAAAATGAATCCAACCAGCAAAGAAAGGACAACGAAAACGTCAACAGTGGCTTCACACCTGGGTCCAGTTATGTACAGAAGCCCTATCAATATCAGGAGAGGGAGAAAAACTGCATTTTTATCTACAAAACGTAATCAGTTGAGAAATCTATACAGCATGGAAAGCGGAGATAATGGGGACTAGTTACAAGGCTGCCGTTGGAGAGGAAGTGGGTTTCCGAAAGGCCATCCGGCTCAAGTTCTGCACAGCCATCACTGACCTTTGCTGTCTAACTTTGTGCGAAACAGCTATTTCTATCATATTTGCAGATTGTTCCATGCCTCTATTATTTCGAAGGCTTCTTCCCCATCACTTGCATAAATACAGAACAATATTACCAAGTTCCGAAAGAGCGTTAGGCCAAGGAGGAGACGTAGCTTTGAATAGTCCATTTCCTGCGACTCGCCTAAGAAGACCCTCCCCATCCATTAGGGGCTTCAGAGAAATCCCATCGGCGGTCATGCATCTCCAAAAGCCCCAGAGAAAGGCAAACAAAATGAAGCAGCGCACGACTCATTATGTACACAGTTCACAGTTGTGCGGATTTGCACCGCATCAGTAGCTCCGTTCGAAGAGGCTCAGAGGGTTATTCAAGTAAACGCTCCCATCATCCACCGTCAGCAATGGGCACAAGGAAATGGAGAAGGGCCCTGAAGGACCAGTCTCTGCAAGTCATAAGATCCTAAAGACCATCCAGTCCAACCCCCTTCTGCCATAAAGATGCCATCCGATCCCTCCTGACAGATGGCTGTCCAGCCTCTGCTTCAAAAACTACAGAGAAAGAGACTTTTCTGGACTTTGTATTCCATTTGAACAGCTCTTTACGCTCAGAAAATTTTTCCTAATATTTAGGTGGCATCTCTTCTCTTGCAATTTAAACCCACAGCTCCATTGTGTCCCGGTCTCCAGAACTGCAGGAAACAGGATTGCCCTCTTTTCCTTGATAGGACTCCTTTCCGATATTGAAACATGGCTCTCTTGTCTCCTTTCTCTCGGGCTTCTTTCCTCCAAGCAAAACAGATCCAGATCCCTCAGATGTTCTTCAGAGGGACTCAAGGCTTACAGGCCTTTGGCCATTTTGGCGGCCCTTCGTGTGACCCCTTCCATCTTCTTGTCCAGCATTATTCCAGATGACGCCCGAGCAAAGCAGAAGAGAGTGGGATCATGACATCCTTTTAGCCTAGAATCGCACTGACCTTTGTCGCTGCCGCATCACACTCTTGGCTCGTGTTCAGCTTGGGGTCACCTCTTAGATCCCTTGGACTTGTTTCCATATCTAGCAAATTGAAATCTTGAACTGGAGACGGGGATATTCCTATCAGAACAGGACAGAGTGGGACTGTGACTTCATCTGGACTTATTTGTATCCACATGCATTGGTTAGCTCTGTCCTAAAGAGGCTCGGTGGGGCATTCGAGTTGTCGATGAATGACTGACGGAGGCAAGTGGTCCTCGGAGTGGGGCCCAGGCTTAGGCATGTTGCTCAGTGGGGCCAGGGGCACCGAGGCGGGTCTTCCTCTCGGTGCAAGGCCCGCGGGCAGAATACTGGACCATCAGGAAAGGCTCCTTGGACTCTCCTTCGCCCACGATGCTCTCCTCGTCCTCCGACTGGCTCAGCCGCTGCAGCCGCAGGTAGCACCAGCAGCCCAGGATCAGGGCCCCCAGCGCTGCCACCGCAATCAGCGTCACAATCACCGTCACCACCCCCGTGGTGGGGCTGTGGTCCATGGCGGACGTGGAGGGACCCTCCGAAGGATGGGTGGACAGATGGATGGACGTGGGGCCCTTCAGCCGCCCCTGGATGCCTGGGAGAGACAGGGAGAGGACAAAAACAGACCAAGCATCACTTCCTTTACATCTTTGGATTTCATGCAATATTTGAGTTCTGAATCATACATCCATCTATATATTTATCTATCCATAGATATATAGCTCTATCTATCCATAGACACACATATACACATATCTCTTGTGTGTCTGTATGTATATATGTATGTGTGTGTGTGTATCTATATAAATAAAAATGTAATGTTCGTTTGTGGGATTAACATAACTCAAAAACCACTGGACAAATTGACACCAAATTTAGACACAAGACACCTATCAGGCCAACAAGTGACCATCACTCATAAAAGCACTGAAAAACGCAGTGGATGAGACTTTAAAAGCCAAAGAACAAAAAAAATGCTTTACAACTCATGTGCAAAACCACATATATACACAAACACACACATATACATATATACAGAAATATATACACACACATATATGCACACACAGAACATATACACAGAAAGGGGCAAGAAAGGAAGGAGAGAAGGAGGGAGAGAGGGGAAAAGGAGGGAAGGAGAGAAGGAAATACAAAAGTGAAAGAAGGCAGGAAAGAGGGAAGGAAGGAGAGAAGGAAGAAAGAGAAAGAGGGAGGGAAAGAAAGAAAGAGAAGGAAGGAGAGAAGGAAATAAAAAGTGAAAGAAGGAAGGAAAGAGTGGGAAGGAAGGTAGAGAAGGAAYGAGAGAAGGAAATAAAAAAGTGAAAGAAGGAAGGAAAGAAAGAGGGAATGAAGGAGAGAAGGAATGAAGGAGAAAAAGAGGGAGGGAAGGAAGGAGAGAAGGAAATAAAAAAGTGAAAGAAGGAAGGAAAGAAAGAGAGAGGGAATGAAGGAGAGAAGGAATGAAGGAGAAAAAGAGGGAGGGAAGGAAGGAAGGATGGAACCAAAGAGCAAAGGAAGTGAGGAAAGACACAGGTAGAGAAGGAAGAAAGAAGAAGGGAAAGAAAAAGAGGGAAGGAAGGAGAGAAAGAGGGAGGGGGGGGGTTGGCCACAGTAACACATGGCGGGTACAGCTAATATATATATATACACACACACACACATATCTATCTCCTTTCATCCATCCATCTCCTTCTCTCTCTATATATATACATCATACAAAACTTCACTTCTGAATCATATATCTATATCTGTCCATCTTATCTATCTCTATGCCTCCATCCTTTTATATCTCTATCCTTCTATCCATCTGTCTATCTTTATCCATCTATCCATCCTATCTATCTATCTATCTATCTATCTATCTATCTATCTATCTATCTATCTATCTATCTATCTATCTCTCTACCCTTCCATCATCCACTCTTTCATCCTTCTCTCTGCCTATCTATCGTATCTATCTCTATCGATCGATCAGCACATCTACATATCCAGCAATATAAGTATCACTATACAATTTGTGAACTCACTAATCTCCTATACACCCCTTCCACCACCTATAATACACCTATTAAAGCTGACTCTCCCCACCTAAAATCAGTTAACCAGCAAACACAAAATTAAGGATTTAAGATGGACTTTGCATTCCGTGTAATGTATTCATCATCGTTCTGAATCTAGGGCCACAACCCCATTTTCCTTGCAAATCCTATGCAGCTGTCGGCAAAGAAAACTCCCTGATTTTTATCTCAGCTAAAATTAAGATTTTGAGTTACAAACAAGAGAAAGGCCTTTTCTCTCCCATTTTACTGGATATCTTGGAACAACAACAACAGACTAGAATTTCCTCCAGTTCCTGGGAGGGGGGTTAGCAGAGCTCTTGGACCTAGAAAAATAATTTTTCCGCAAATCAGTCAGTGGCCTTCCTTGCAGAAAAGCGGATCCAAAGGCCTGGACTTGTCTCATTGTGCAATTATAAGCAAGGCACAGAACTGGGAGGGGAAGGAGATAAGGATCATTCTCACACTTCTGGAACCTGTTTTGAAGAAAAAGTCTTCCCCGTTTGGTGAGAGTGATAGCGGCCTTTGTACCTGAAATGGCCACAAATTCAAGGCAATCCACAAATGCCAGCAGTGGAAGAGGGTTCCCAAGGGTCATCTAGTCCAACCCCGTTCTGCTATATCAATAGACACAACTCAAGCACTCCCAGGAGATGGGCATCTGTCTAAGGGCCTCCAAGGGAGCCCTGATACTAAAATGCCATTTTCCATGCAGACCAACCAACTTCCTTTCCCAGGATCCAGGGGATGATGGGAGTTGCAATCTACTCCCGACTCTCTTTTAAAGCTTGTGATGTTGAACAGTCTTTATTCAAATATAATTGTAGTAATCCTATTTGCAACCAAATGCAAGCCATTTTAAAAAGAGAAAGTGGGATATAAATATGACAACAATTGTGTCTCAATTGAAAGAGAAAAGTGAGATACACAACAACAACAACAATTGCCAACGTCCCTTTACTAGCCCTTCATGTCTCAACAGAAAAACAAAGTAAGATCCACAACAATAATAGCCAAGCCGGAAAGTGGGATATAAATATAACAACAATTGTGTCTTAACTGAAAGAAAAGAGATACACAACAACAACAACAATTGCCAACGTCCCTTTACTAGCCCTTCATGTCTCAACAGAAAAAAAAGTAAGATCCACAACAATAATAGCCAAGCCGGAAAGTGGGATATAAATATAACAACAATTGTGTCTCAATTGAAAGAGAAAAGTGAGATATACAACAACAACAATTGCCAACGTCCCTTTACTAGCCCTTCATGTCTCAACAAAAAAAAGTAAGATCCACAGCAATAAGAGCCAAGCCTGAAAGTGGGATATAAATATAACAACAATTGTGTCTTAACTGAAAGAGAAAAGTGAGATACACAACATCATCAACAACAATTGCCAATGTCCCTTTACTAGCCCTTCATCTCTCGACAGAAAAAAAGTAAGATCCACAACAATAATAGCCAAGCCAGAAAGTGGGATATAAATATAACAACAATTGTGTCTCAATTGAAAGAGAAAAGTGAGATACACAACAACAACAATTGCCAACGTCCCTTTACTAGCCCTTTTTGTCTCACTTGACAGATAACAGGATATAAATATAACTATAATGGATTTGTAAAAGCTGTAAAAAGTGTCTGCCCTCCACAAAAACTATATATATATATATATCCATAATAAAAGTGAAAATACGTGGTGTGTATGTGCCCACTTTCACAAACAAGCTCCCACTTCCACAAACAGCTATAATCCCCACCTATGAGGACCCACCAAAGGCCCTCCCTCCAGTTACATTGCAGGTTATAGCGAGCATCATGAACATACACAACCCCTGCCAGTGTCCTCCACAAACACCATACCACCCAAGGAATGCTTTCATACAGGGACAGTTTCATCCTAGATTTTATGTGTTTCCTCCACCACAGACATCCCAGTCTTTCTGACTCTCTTCATTGGTGTGGAATTTGTATGACCCCGCCCATTGCCACTCCCATAACCCTTTCCGTTATGCAGGGCACAGCAAATAGATTAGGATTGATCAGCAACTGAACATACCAGAGGGGGATGGGGGACAAACTCTATACCACTATATATGCAATGTATAACATACAATTATTATATATTATTATACTGTAGTATATTATTATACCACAATATATATATATATATATATATATGTATATGTATATGTATATGTATATGTATATATATATATATAATACACTACCAGTATATTATATTATTAGTATTATATAATATATTGTACTATGTTTTTGGTACCCTACCTGGAGCCATTAGGAGAGATGTGTAATCAATAAAATGTATATATCATATGATATATACATATAAATATCATATGATTAGCAAAGCACAGTATTAGTATTATATATTATTATATTGTACTATACGACTATACTACATTATACTATATTATTATTACACATTACTATATATATATATATTATATTTAATAAATTAGTATTATTATATTACAATATTATTATATTCTTCTATTGTATTATTGTTAGTATTATATTGCATTACATTATAATATTATTACAGAATCCTAGAGCTGGAAGAGGCCCTCCCTCCAGTCCAACCCCCTGCCAAGAAGCAGGAAAATATTATTATTATTATTATTATTATTATTAATTTATTATTATACAAAATCTAAATATGCATGCATATCAACATCACAATCTAAAAGTACAAAATAAATGAATAAGCCTACTTTTATCATCCAACAAACTCTAAAAATACATGCCTAAAATAACAATGTAAAATCTGAAATAATTATATATATTATACAAAATCTGAAAATGCATGCTGAAAATGACAATGTAAAATCTGAAATAAATGTATATTATTATTATTATTATTATTATTATTATTATACAAAACCTAAAAATGCTTGTCTAAAATAACAATATAAAATCTGAAATAAATGTATATTATTATTATTATTATTATTATTATTATTATACAAAACCTAAAAATGCATGCCTAAAATAACAATGTAAAATCTGAAATAATTATATATTATTATTATACAAAATCTGAAAATGCATGCCTAAAATAACAATGTAAAATCTGAAAGAAATGTATATTACTATTATTATTATTATTATTATTATTATTATTATTATTATTATACAAAACCTGAAAATGCATGCCTAAAATAACAATGTAAAATCTGAATTAAATGTATATTATTATTATTATTATTATACAAAATCTGAAAATGCATGCCTAAAACAACAATGCAAAATCTGAATTAAATGCATATTATTATTATTATTATTATTATACAAAATTTGAAAATGCATGCCTAAAAATAACAATGTAAAATCTGAACTAAATGCATATTATTATGACAATAATAAATGAAAATGGCTATGATGATCATCCTACAAAATCCAAAAAGGCATGCCTAAAATCATATTTGATAAAATCTGAAATTAAATTTATGAATAATTTTACAAAAACCTGAAATGCATGGACAAGACCATTTACAAAAAGGGGGGGGAAACAGAGAGGGGTGCAGAGGCCCCTCCATTGCAAAGCCTCTGTCCCTTTAAGACATAGGACACAAGAGGTCTTCATCCTCCTCCTCTTCCTCTGTCTTCCTGGGAGCCATTGCAATGGAGGAATGAGGGAGGAGTGTGATTTGGGGAGGGGGCTCCCTCCTTCCTGCCCCCCTCTCTCTCTCTCCTGCCCCTCCCCTCTTTGTGATACCCCCCCCCTTCCAAAGAAGCCCCCCATTGAGTGATATACAGGGAGAGATCTCCCTCCCTCCCTCCCTCCTTCTCTTCTTTCCCTTTTTCCTTACCAGGGCCCAAAAGAAGGGGTCTCCCACCATTGCTGCTGAGACTGTGCCAACCGCCTAGCAACAGATGACGCGGAGGAATAAAGGGGCGTGGCTTTACTAAACCACGCCCACCGCTCACGATTGGAGGAAGATATAGAAGAGGCGCGGTCCTCGCAGGGAAAGGAAGGGCCCTCTGCTAACCACGCCCACCAGCTGAGATTGGTGGAGTGAAGGGGCGGAGCTTTCCCGTGGGGCGGGGCTAAATTAAACCACGCCCACCGGTCCCTGCCATATTGGAGTGTGTTGCCATGGTGATTCCATCCCTTTGGTATTCAAATTGGATTGGGTTAATTTTGAATAATTATGTTTATTTGTTATTATATTGTATTCCAAATATTAAAAATATATTAGATATTGTCAGAAGTATTATATTTAATATATTAGCATTAATGTTAATATTCCAAATACAAATATAATAGTAATATTCCAAATAAAAACATTAAAAATATACAATAATAATAATATTAATATTCCAAATACAAATATTAAAAATATACAACAATAAAACAGTATTAGGTGTTATCAGAAGTATTATATTTAATATATTAGGATTAATATTAATATTCCAAATACAAATATTAAAAATATACGATGTTAATATTAATATTCTAAATACAGATATAAAAAATTACAATAAAACAATATCAGATATTATCAAAAGTATTATATTTAATATATTAGCATTAATATTAAATTTCCAAATACAAATGTAACATTGATATTCCAACTACAAATATAAAAATATACAATATTAATATTAATATTCCAAGTACAAATATAAATATATACAGTAAAACAGTATTATATATTATCAGAAGTATTATATTTAATATATTAGCATTAATATTCATATTCCAAATATTAATTGTGGCGCAGCTGGCTGAATGTCAGCTGCATTAAGATCACTCTGACCAAAAGGTCATGAGTTCGAAGCCAGCCCGGGCTGGAGTGGGTTTCCAACCAATTGTATGTAGCCTGTTGTCGACCTTTGCAACCCGAAAGACAGTTGCATCTGTCAAGTAGGAAAATTAGGTACCACCTTAAAGTGTGGAGAGGCTAAATTAACTATTTATGAGGCCATAAAAAAGACTCCAGCAAGCACTCCAGCAAAAAGCATGCGGGGAATGCGGAAGTGCTTCATCAGTGTCGCAGATAGACGATGAAAGCGACAGCTCCCCTGGCGGCCAGAAAAAGTTAAATAGCCTCTGTGTATGTCTGTATATGTTGTATGTCAAAATTGGCATTGAATGTTTGCCATATATGTGTACACTGTTATCCACCCTGAGTCCCCTGCGGGGTGAGAAGGGCGGAATATAAAAGCTGTAAATAAATAATAAATAAATAAATAATATTAATATACTAACTACAAATATAAAAATATATAATAATAATATTAATATTCCAACTACAAATATAAAAATATACAATAAAACAGTATTAGATATTATCAGAAGTATTATATTTAATATATTAACATTAATATTAATATTCCAAATACAAATATAATATTAATATTCCAAATACAAACATTAAAAATATACGATGTTAATATTAATATTCCAACTACAAATATAAAAAAATATACAACAATAAAAAAGTATTAGATATTATCAGAAGTATTATATTTAATATATTAGTATTAGTATTAATATTCCAAATACAAATATAATATTAATATACCAACTACAAATATTAAAAATATACAATAATAATATTAATATTCCAACTACAAATATAAGAATATACGATAATAATATTAATATTCAAAATACAAATATAAAAATATACAGTAAAACAGTATTATATATTATCATAAGTATATTAATATTCCAACTGCAAACATAAAATATACAATATTAATATTAATATTCCAAATACAAATATTAATATATATATAACAATTCAACGGTATTAGATATTATCCGAAGTATTATATTTAATATATTCACAGAAATATTAATATTCCAAATACAAATATAAAAATATAAAATAAAACAGTATTATATATTATCAGAAGCATTATATTTACTATATTAGTATTAATTTATTTATTGTCAAAGGCTTTCATAGCCTGAATCACTGGTTTGCTGTGAGTTTTCCAGGCTGTATGGCCATGTTCCAGAAGCATTCTCTCCTGACGTTTTGCCCACATCTATGGAAGGCATCCTCAGAAGTTGTGAGGTCTGTTGAAAACTAGGCAAGTGGGGTTTGTATATCTCTGGAATGATGTCCAGGGTGGGTGAAAATACTCGTCTGTTTGAGGCAAGTGTGAATGTTGCAGTTGGACACTTTGATTAGCATTGAATGGCCTTGTAGTATCAAAGCCTGGCTGCTTCCTGCCTTGGGGAATCCTTTGTTGGGAGGTGTTACCTGGCCCTGATTATTTCTTCTCTGGGATTCCCCTGTTTTTTACTGTTGCTCTTTATTTACTGATTTTAGAGGGGTTTTTTAAAATACTGGCAGCCAGATTTTGTTCATTTTCACGGTTTCCTCCTTTCTGTTGAAATTGTCCACACGCTTGTGGATTTCAATGGCTTCTCTGTGTAGTCTGACATACTGGTTGTGAGAGTGGTCCATGTTATGTCCAGGTTGATTCATCAAGTGCTCTGCTATGGCTCTGGTTGGAGTAATCTGCAGTGCCTTTCATGTTCCTTGATTCGTGTTTTGGTGCGAAACAATCAGGGCCAACAAAAGATTCCCCCAAGCAGGAAGCAACCAGGCTTTGAAGCTGCAAGGCCATCCAATGCTAATCAAGGTGGCCAATGGCAACATTCACACTTGCCTCAAACAGACAAGAGTTCTTTCTTCCACCCTGGACATCATTCCACAGATATATAAACCTCACTTGCCTTGTTTCCAACAGAAATCACAACATCTGAGGATGCCTGCCATAGATGTGGGTGAAACGTCAGGAGAGAATGCTTCTGGAAGATGGCCAGACAGCCCGGTTAACTCACAGCAACCCATAATTGATACAACGTATATATTATCAAAAGTATTGTATTTAATGCATTTGTCTTCATATAAATAAAGTTTTATTAGTAGTAGTAGTAGTATTATATTACAATATTTTTATATATTTTTATATTGTGTTATTATTAGCATTATATTATATTATAAGCCGTCCCCTGCCACGCATTGCTGTGGCCCACATGGGGGTTCTGTGTGGGAGGTTTGCCCAATTCTATCATTGGTGGGGTTCAGAATGCTCTGTGATTGTAGGTGAACTATAAATCCCAGCAACTACAACTCCCAAATGTCAAGATTCTATTTCCCCCAAACTCCACCAGTGTTCACATTTGGGCATATTGAGTATTCTTGTAGAGTTTGGTCCAGATCCATCATTGTTTGAGTCCACAGTGATCTCTGGATGTAGGTGAACTACAACTCCAAAACCAAAGGACACTGCCCACCAAACCCTTATTTTCTGTTGGTCATGGGAGAACTGTGTGCCAAGTTTGGTTCAATTCCATCGTTGGTGGAGTTCAGAATGCTCTTTGATTGTAGGTGAACTATAAATCCCAGCAACTACAACTCCCAATTGACAAAATCAATTTTTTGAGTGAAGAACATACATTGGGTTGTTAGGTGTCTTGTGTCAAATATTGGTGTCAATTCGTCCAGTGGTTTTTGAGTTCTGTTAATCCCACAAAGGAACATTACATTTTTATTTATATAGATTAACATAATATTACTATCATCACTATTATCATTTAATATGCATCATCATCATAATGTAATATAATTATCATTCTATAATTACTGGATTTACCTTGAAGGAGCTGGGGGTGGTGACGGCAGACAGGGAGCTCTGGCGTGGGCTGGTCCATGAAGTCACAAAGAGTTGGAAATGACTGAACGAATGAACAACAACAAACTATACCACTATACTGCAATATTATTAGTAATATTATATTAACGATGTCACTCTGCAACTTTCTGAGATTCCATAGCACTGAAGTGATATCAAACTGCATCAATTCCTACAGCATAATGCATCCCAAAAGGGAAGCTCATTCCACCATACCTGTTGTTGTTACAGCTACATCCTGTGCATCGTAGGAAAAGGGTTCCTGTCCCTTTAAATGTGGGATGGCATCAGGTGCAGCCAGGTAAAGAGCAGCACCTGCCCAAGTCCTTCCTGGTGACAACACCCTTTTCCCATTGCAGCCAAGCAGCATTCTCTTTCCGGGAGAATCAAGTCCAAAGTCCGGCTTCTTGAGAAACAGGTGAGTTTTGCCATCCTGAGCAGGTAGCCCCTTCCAGGTAAACAAGGCACTGTTTCAGGGAACTTTGGAGAGTTTTATGGGCTTCTGGATTGTGCCATAAAGCAAAAGAGATGTCCCTGCCACCTCCTTTTCCTTCTCTTGTCCTGTTCTGTCTTTCCCCTGTTACAATGTTGAGGAATAGTCCTTTCACCTGTAAAAAGGTCCCCAAAAGCCCAATTTCTGGCGCTGGCCTGCCCTCTGCTGGTTTGCAGAAAGGGGGAAGTGAATGGAAAAATCCCATTATTTCTAGGCCACGTTTCATGGTGAGAATGGTGGGAGTTGTGATCCAAAGAACCAGGAACAGATAACAGGAAGAAGGGAAGTGTTGTTTTTGTTAGCTGTAGGTTCCTGCATTGGCCACAGGTCGGACTAGATGGCCTTGAGGGTCTCTTCAAAGTCTAAGGTTCTAGGATAGTTGGTGGACTCTCCTGCTTTGTGGGTAAGTGGGATTTTTAAATAGAGCTTAGATGGGCATCTTAGACTAGATGACCTTTGGGTGTCCCTCCTTTCCAACTCTAGAATTCTATGAAAATACAATGTACAGTCTTAGAAGGGAGTTGGCTCTTTCTCCTCAGCTAGATGGCCATCTGTTGGGAGGGCTTTGATGGTGTTTTCCATCTGGCAAAATGGGGTTGGACTGGATGGCCTTTGGACTCCCTTGGTTGATTATTATTATTATTATTAATATTAGCAGAGGCTGGATGTTCATCTGCTGGGAAGGATTGGACTGTGTTTTCCTTTATGGCACAATGGGCTTGGACTGGATGGCCTTTTGACTCCCTTTCAAATCTAGGATCTTATGGTTTATTATTGTTATTATTATTATTATTATTACTATTGTTATTATTATTATTATTAGCAGAGGCTGGATGTTCATCTGCTGGGAAAGATCAGATTGTGTCTTCCTTTATGGCACAATGGGCTTCGGATTGTACCATAAGGCAAAAGAGTTGTCCCTGCCGCCTCCTTTTCCTTCTCTTGTCCTGTCCTGGTAGTTCCCCTGTTACAATGGATGGTCTTTGGACTCCCTTCCAACTCTAGGATCCTATGGTTCATTACTATTACTACTGTATTATTATTATTAGCAGAGGCTGGATGTTCATCTGTCGGGAGGGATCAGATTGTGTCTTCCTTTATGGCACAATGGGGTTGAACTGGATGGCCTTTGGACTCCCTTCCAAATCTAGGATCCTATGTTTATTATTATTATTATTATTATTATTATTATTATTATTATTATCAGAGGCTAGATGTTTATCTGTTGGGAGGGATCAGATTGTGCCTTCCTTTTTGGTACAATGGGGTTGGACTGGGTGGCCTTTGGACTCTAGGATACTATGGTTCATCATCATCATTGTTATTATTATTATTACTATTCATTATTCATTATTATTATTATTACTATTACTACTACTATTATTAGCAGAGGCTGGATGTTCATTTGTCAGGAGGGATCGGATTGTGTCTTCCTTTATGGCACAATGGGGTTGGACTGGATGGACTTTGGACTCCCTTCCAACTTTAGGACCCTATGGTTCATTGTTGTTATTATTATTAGAGGCAGGATGTTCATCTGTCAGGAGGGATCGGATTGTGTCTTCCTTTATGGCACAATGGGGTTGGACTGGATGGCTTTTGGACTCCCTTCCAACTCTAGGATCCTATGGTTCATCATCATCATCATCATTATTATTATCATCATCATCAGAGGCTGGATGTTCACTTGTCGGGAGGGATCGGTTTGTGTCTTCCTTTATGGCACAGTGGGGTTGGACTGGATGGCCTTTGGACTCCCTTCCAACTTTAGGACCCTATGGTTCATTGCTGTTGGTCTTTATTATTATAATTATATTATTATTGTTGTTGTTGTTGTTGTTGTTGTTGTTGTTATTGTCATTGTTGGTCCTGAAAAGGACCGTTGGTTGTTTTGCTTGCTTGCATGCTGGTTGCTTCTGGATTGAGAGAATCAGCCGTCTACAAAGACGTTGCCCAGAGAATCCTGCGAGGAGGCTTCTCTCATGTCCTTTGATACTGGTCAAAGGACATTTAATCAACTACCAAACTCACACATTTTGTATTTTCTCTGCTTGCTTGCTTTGTTCTGTTAGAAATGTAATATAACTGACTGGCTGCCCTGACACGAGAAATAAATTATTATTATTATTATTATTATTATTATTATTATTATTATTATTATTATTAGAGGCTGGATGTTAATCTGTCAGGAGGGATCAGATTGTGTCTTCCTTTATGGCACAATGAGGTTGGACTGGATGGTCTTTGGAGATCCCTTCCATCTCAAGGATTCTATGGTTTTGTGATTATTACATTTGGGGCCCCAAAGCAAGGCCTCTTCTCCCCACTTTTGAGCCTTTTGCATAGAATCCAAGAATTGGAAGGGGACCCTCAAGGGCCATCTAGTCCAACCCCTTCCTGCCAGGACACAACTGAATCCCTCCCAATAGATGGCCATCCAGATGCATAGTGATTTCAGCTTGGAGATTATTAAGGCCAGAGAAAGAAAGAGGAAGCAAAGTTAGAGAGAAGGACAAAGTAATGCAAAATCATATAGTGTTGGATATATAAACACTACATAAAAATGATTCCATGTCTACACTGTAAACTTAATGCAGTTTGCCGGAAATAATGCCACTGACAGCCCAGGAACAAAGACCTCCCCCTTTCAGCACCCTCCCTGCCTCTGAGGTCACAAAGGCCCTTTACACCAGTTTCAGTTCCCTTTTCCTCTGCCTTTTGGCAGGGACAAGCCAAGGAAGATGGCGGGTGAGTTTTGGGGCGAGTTCTTCGGCCCTCCTTCGGCTTCGGGCCCAGTTTAAGGGGTTCCTTTCCACAGGACGGTTGGGGTTCGGGTTGTCTATGTTCTCATTTCCTGCAAGGCTGCCTTGAGCACTAGTTTGGGAAGTCGGGATATAAATGAACTGATAATAACAACGATAACACTATGTAACACATTTGTTCCTGGGTCATAAAATTCATTGGTTCTGTCAAGAAAACATGGAAAATGTGTATTCAACTGAAGAAGATGATGATGATGATGATGATGATGATGATGGTGTTACTGATTATGATGTCGCTGATGATGACATTGATAAACATGCCCAGCTCCTTAAGCCGCTCCTCATAGGGCTTGTTCTCCAGACCCGTGATCATTTTAGTCGCACCCTGAGGCACTCCACTTGTCAATTCAAGAGAGATATTGACAAGCTGGAATGTGTCCAGAGGAGGGCGACTAAAATGATCAAGGGTCTGGAGAACAAGCCCTATGAGGAGTGGCATAAGGACTGGGCATGTTTAGCCTGAAGAAGAGAAGGCTGAGAGGAGATATGATAGCCATGTATAAATATGTGAGAGGAAGCCACAGGGAGGAGGGAGCAAGCTTGTTTTCTGCTTCCCTGGAGACTAGGACGGAACAATGGCTTCAAACTACAAAAAGGAGATTCCATCTGAACATGAGGAAGAACTTCCTGACTGTGAGAGCCATTCAGCAGTGGAACTCTCTGCCCCGGAGTGTGGTGGAGGCTCCTTCTTTGGGAAGCTTTTAAACAAAGGCTGGATGGCCATCTGTCAGGGGTGATTTGAATGCAATATTCCTGCTTCTTGGCAGAATGGGGTTGGACTGGATGGCCCATGAGGTCTCTTCCAACTCTGATTCTATGATGATGATGATGTTGTGGTTGCTACTGCTGCTGATGATGTTGCTGACGATGATGATGTTGATGAAGGTGATGATAGAATCCTTGAGTTGAAAGAGACCTCATGGGCCATCCAGTCCAACCCCCTGCCAAGAAGCAGGAATATTGCATTCAAAGCACCACTGACAGATGGCCATCCAGCCTCTCCTTAAAAGCTTCCAAAGAAGGAGCCTCCACCACACTCCGGGGCAGAGAGTTCCACTGCTGAACAGCTCTCACAGTGAGGAAGTTCTTCCTCATGTTCAGGTGGGATCTCCTTTCCTGTAGTTTGAAGCCATTGATCCACTGCGTCCTAGTCTCCAGGGCAGCAGAAACTGGGTGAGTGAGGACTTCTCCTCACTCACATACTTATAGATGACCCTCATCATGTCTCCTCTCCGCCTTCTCTTCTGCAGAACATGCCCAGCTCTTTAAGCCGCTCCTCATAGGGTTTGTTCTCCAGACCCTTGATCCTTTGAGACACATTCCAGCTTAGAGTCAACATCTCCCTTCAGTTGTGATGCCCAGAATGGGACACAGTGTGATTCCAGGTGTGGTCTGACCAAGGCAGAGTAGAATAGAGGGGGGGCATGACTTCCCTGGATCTAGACACTAGACCACTATTGATGAAGGCCACAATCCCATTGGCTTTTGTGGATGATGATGTTGATGAAGATGATGATAATGATGAAGTTGATGTGGAAAATGACATTGATGGTGTTGGTAATGATGAAGGTGGTGTTTCAGGTGCTGCTGAAGATGACGTTGCCGACAATCACGATATTGATAATGATGTTGATAATGATTTTGATGATTTATTTATCGTGTCACAAGCAAATTGAGAATGCAGTTATAATGTATTAAAAAACCACAAAAAGTTTAAAAACTTGGCATTATACTAAATGTCCTTTGACCAGAAGCTGGCCACTTGGAGTGCCTCTGATGTGGCTGTAAAATGCTCCTCCGTTGTGCATGTGGCAGGGCTCAGGCTGCATTGTAGTAGGTGGTCTGTGGTTTGCTCTTCTCCGCTCTTGCATGTCGTGGACTCCACTTTGTAGCCCCATTTTTTAAGGTTGGCTCTGCATCTTGTGGTGCTAGAACGCACTCTGTTCAGTGCCTTCCAAGTCACCCAGATTTCAGTGTGCCCAGGGGGGAAGTCTCTCATCTGGTCTTAGCCATGGATTGAGGTTCCAGGTTTTAGCCTGCCACTTTTGGACTCTTGCTTGCTGAGAGTATCTCTGTAGATCTTAGGAAGCTGTTTCTTGATTTAAGGTATTGTCATGCTGGCAGATATCTGAACAGAGGGTGGGCTGGAGATGTCAATGCCTTGGTCCTTTCATTGCTGGCTGCTACTTCCCAACAGATATCAAGTGGTGCAATACCAACTAAACAGTGTCATTTCTCCAGTGGTGTGGGGCGTAGACATCCTGTGATGATGCGGCATGTCTCATTAAGAGCCACATCCACCGTTTTAACATGATGAGATGTGTTCCACACTGGGCATGCGTACTCGGCAGCAGAATGGCAAAGCGCAAGGGCAGATGTCTTCACTGTGTCTGGTTGTGATCCACAGGTTGTGCCAGCCAGCTTTCGTATGATATTGTTTCTAGCACCCACTTTTTGCTTGATACTCAAGCAATGCTTCTTGTAAGTCAAAGCACAGTCCAGGGTTTTGTTTTGTGTGTATGTGTGTGTGTGTCAGGAGTGACTTGAGAAACTGCAAGTCACTTCTGGTGTGAGAGATTGGCTGTCTGCAAGGTTGCTCAGGTTGTGCCAGTCAGCTTTCGTATGTCTTCACTGTGTCTGGTTGTGATCCCCAGGTTGTGCCAGTCAGCTTTCCTATGATATTGTTTCTAGCACCCACTTTTTGCTTGATACTCAAGCAATGCTTCTTGTAAGTCAAAGTCTTCTGGTGTGAGAGATTGGCTGTCTGCAAGGACGTTGGCCAGGGGACGCCTGGATGTTTGATGTCTTATCCTTGTGGGAAGCTTCTCCCGTGTCCCCACATGGGAAGCTGGAGCTGAGAGAGGGAACTCAACTCGCTCTCCCCGAATACGAACTGCTGACCAGTTCTACCAGCAGAAGGGTTTAACCCATTGTGCCACCGGGAGCTCCACAGTCCAGGGTAACACCCAAGTATTTTGGTGTGCTGCAATACTCCAGTGGGATTCCTTCCCAGGTCATCCTCAGAGCTTAAGATGGTCTGTTCTTAGGATAGAAAGCACACGTCTGTATTTTTGATGGATTAGGAATCAGCTGGTTTTCTCTGTAATAGGCAGTAAGAGCACCTAGAGCTTCTGAGAGTTTCTGTTCAACCATTGCAGAGCTCCCTGCTTGAGCGGTGATGGCATGATCGTCAGCATAGATGTAATTCTCTGTCCCTTCTACAGTGGTTGATCATTTGTGTAAATGTTAAACATTGATGGAGCAAGCATGCTTGCCTGAGACAGGCCGTTCTTCTGTTTCTCTGGCCCTGGAACCCAACAAAAAAGCTCCTGTTTTGTATCAGATTTCCTCTGAAGTGGGTGAGGTGGTAATCCTTTGTGATATTATAAATTTTTCTCAGGAGAAGGCGATGATTT